TACAGACAGATGGAAAGACAGACACAGATGACAGATGATAGATACAGATGGTAGACAGAAAGAGCACATGTGATGTATTGTCTACTCTCTACACCTTGAGAAGGAGAGGCCGAGCCAGTGCCGTTACCAGGACAACAGGTAGAAGTCAGGGCTTTCCAGGGTGTCTGGTGGCCCTACTCACTGAGTGCTTTCATGTAACTTCCCTGTTACCTTCCAATGACAAACCAAGAAACACATTTTTTTACAGACTCAAAATAAAGAGCTGGACCATCTTTCCCACATGTTTTCTTTTAATCCTGGGGACACTGAGGCATGTATTGATTAAGGCATCGCCTTCACATAGCCTGCTGACACCTTGGACCCAATAAAACCCACTGTTTGCAACTATGCAGGATATAAAGTTTGTGTTAATATATACATATGTGCTAAGTCGCTTCAGTCGTGTCCAATTCTTTGCAACCCCATGCACTTAAGCCCCCCAGGCTCCTGTGTCCATGGGATTCTCCAGGCAAGAATACTGGAGTGGGTTGCCATTTCCTTCTCCAAATATATATATCAACATACAAACCTCACCCCTGGTTTCACTGCCTGTTAAGTTCTTACTTTAGCCCATGTTCTCAATCCATTTACTTTTAAAACAGATTCTATCTTTTTCTTTTATTTATATTTGTGTGATCATTCTTAAATCCATTCTGAAACAAGGAAACAGTGTAAATATATTCAATGCAAGTCTTTTTATTCTTTACGGATATTTGAGGAGTTTTTATAAAGCTCCTGGGTTAGACACATGTGTGCATGTGCATGCGTGCATGCTGAGTTGCTTCGGTCACGTCCGACTCTGTGCAACCCTATAGGTGCAATCTGCCAGGCTCCTCCGTCCATGGGATTCTCCAGACAAGAATACTAGAGTGGGTTGCCATGCCCTCCTCCAAGGTATCTTCCCGACCCAGGGATCGAACTCAAGTCTCTTATGTCTAACCTGCATTGGCAGATAGGTTCTTCACCACCAGCGCCAGCTGGGAAACCTGAGTTAGAGACAGTGAGTCTCAAAACCAGGGACTTTAGAAGTGAGGAATCCAGGCCAGGAGTCCAAAAGACCATGTCTTTTTCTGTGTCTTCTCCTGTCTACACACCAATCTTCTTGGTCAGTATTTCTCAGGACCATTTTTAGGTCTAGGACATGAAGGTCAGTATGCAGTTGATTGATAGTGAAAATGCTTAGGAATAAATAATGGATTTGGGGGGTGGGGCTGTCTTTCTGATTTGCATTTAGAAGTGCCAATCAAAGTGCTTAAATAGTAGGAACTATATGAACCAGTCGTAACCAGGTTTGTAGAATTCTGCTAAGTGTGTAGAACTCTCTACACCCAAAATGTGCCCTAGTGAGGTGCCTGGATCTCAGAGTTGGGGCCGAAGGTATGGAGGGGGCAGCTGATACAGCCGCGCCCAGGTCCTGCTGTCTTTACACTGGGGGTTTTCAGGATTGTGCAATATAGCTGTGTGTCTGTGTGTTCATCTGTGTGTCTGCATGTGAGCACACATACCTGAGGCTTGACCAATAACTGCAAGACTCACAACTTGCAAAACCAGCCACAGTGAGCTCTCTTACAAACCCGGTTAACTGAATAACTGCCCTCGCCTCGGCGTGAAGCAACCAAACGAGGGGACAGCTGAAAGAGGGCTTTCTTCAGGGGATGAAACAGCCTTTACACAAAAGCTTAATATGAGCCAATCTGTGCAACCAGGCTTCCAGGCGACTGGCTGGCATTTAATGAGAACCTACTACACAGAGACAGCACTTTGCCAACAAAGGTCAGTCTAGTCAAGGCTATGGTTTTTCCAGTGGTCATGTATGGATGTGAGAGTTGGACTATAAAGAAAGCTGAGCACCTAAGGAGTGATGCTTTTGAACTGTGGTGCTGGAGGACTCTTGAGAGTCCCTTGGGCTGCAAGGAGAACAAACCAGTCCATCCTAAAGGAAATCAACTCTGAATACTCATTGGAAGGACTGATGCTGAAGTTGAAGCTCCAATACTTTGGCCACCTGATGCAAAGAGCCAACTTGTTGGAAAAGACCCTGATGCTGGGAAAGACTGAAGGCAGGAGGAGAGGGGAGTGACAGAGGATGAGATAGATAGCATCACCGACTCAATGGATATAAATATGAGCAAACTCCAGGAGATGGTGAAGGACAGGGAAGCCTGGCAGGCTGAACTCCATGCGGTTGCAAAGAGCTGGACATGACTTAGCGACTGAACAACAACTACACAAATCACAAAGGGGGGATGTCCTGACTTGATTAAACTGCTTCTTTGCCTCTTTCCCATGAAAATGGCTCTCTTGTTTTCTAAACAGTTTATTTAACATAGGAAGCAAGTCTGGCCCTACTAGAAATGATATTGACAACATCAAAGCCTGCTGCTGGCATGACAGAAATAGGACCCCGTCAGATGAAAGGATGTCACAGCACCAGACTTAGCTCCTGGGTCTGTGATTCCATGCGGATCTCAGATAAGTACCTTCAATGTAAGCCTTTCCTCAGATTGAGTCTCTCATCTTAGAGAAGTAAAGGCTTTGTTTCACCTAAACTGAGGAAATTATATTCTCAAGGAGAAAGGCAAAGGGTGAGACAGGCTTGGGCAGACATCCTCTGGGTTTCGTCTCATCCCATTCCGCTCCAGCCAGTGTCCAAAGCAACAACACCCCTGCCTGAACCCCCCATCCCCAGGCACACAGCTGCTCTCAACCCCTTCAGGTACCACGCATCCAGGATGGGCCCCTTGGACATTCCCCTTTCCACACTTTTTTCCCACTCAACTGGAAATGCCTCCAGTTCTAAGTCACTGCAACAAGCAATAGTTCTCAGGAATGCAGCTTAGTTGCCATGATCAAACCAAAGGCATGCCTTTGGCATAAATGTCCACTTCCTTTCCTGAAACATCAAAACCAGCTTTGTCCTTCTCATGAGACACACAAGAGACTCACTCCACTGTCCTCTATAAAAGCCTTATTTGTGCTTCAAGATCAGGGATGGATGAGTCCTTTCATACACCGCACTGCTTCCAACGAGCTTCATGCAGTTTGCTGAAAGCAACACAGCGACCATCCTGAAGAGAAACCCAGTCTGTGAGCCAAGTCGGTGTTTTGCACTCTGAACTCTCTTGCTTGGAAGGTGGAAACAGAAGCCCACTGGAGGTGGTCTGGTGCAGACTTAGGGCTGGGGGTGGGAATCGTGCCATGGAGGGGATCTGATCTCATTGGTCATCACACCTCACAGAGGTGAGCTCCCAGGTGGCACAAGTGGTAAAGAACCTGCCTGCCAACGCAGAAGACGTAAGAGACGTGGGTTCAATGCCTGGGTCAGGAAGATCCGCTGGAGAAGGAAATGGCAACCCACTCCAGTGTTCCTGCCTGGAGAACCCCACGGACAGGGGAGCCTGGCGGGCTACAGTCCACGGGGTCGCAACGAGTCAGACACGACTAAAGTGACTGAACATGCACACACCACCTTCGGGGCAAGGGAGAATCAAGCCTGCACCAGTTTAACCCATGCTCATCTCTATGACTCCAGCAATAAGCAGAGTCCTGGGCGGGACCACCCAGGGGTCAGGCACCCTTTCGTCCATTCTTCCCTCAGTTAATATTCACTGAGGACCTAGGGGACTCCAGGCACTGAACTTGGCCATGCAGGGCCTTTGTGGGTCTTACACTCCACTGAAGGAGGAAGATAAGAAGAGAACTTCCACATAAAAGTCCACTGCAGTGACAGAGGGGAATCCAGGCAATAAAAGAAAGTCAGGCAGGCAGGGGTGAGGGTCACTGGGTGGAGTAGTGGGGGCACACCTCTGGATGGGGTGGCTAGAGAACCCCAATGAAGGGCAGAACTCCCTGGAACCAAGGGTTTCAGGCTAAAGAGACAGCAAGTTCAGTCCCAGAGGCAGAAGGTGAGGGGCCCAGATGGCCACAGTGGGTGATGGAGGGAGCCCCCAGGGGCTACGGGAAGGGGCTTGAGAATGAAGGAGTCAGGGAAGCTTGTCTGAGTTCTAACTCACGCTTAGTTGCTAAGAAGTGTCCAATCTGTGCCACCCCATGGCCTGTAGCCTGCCAGGCTTTTCTGTCCATGGGATTTCCCAGGCAAGAGTACTGGAGTGGGTTGCCACTTCCTTTTCCAGGGGATCTTCCCAACCCAGGGGTCAAACTCATCTCCTGCATTGGCAGGTGGGTTCTTTACGAGTGTGCACCTGGGAAGTTCTCACTCGCCTCTTACTAACTGCAGGCCGACCTCTCCGAGCATCATTGTCCTCATCAGGGCACTCGTGACAAACCACGCTACGTATTGCTTGAGAGTTCATGACACCAAAAATTCAGTGTATGCACATCGCTCACTGAAAACCTCAGTCAGGACCCGCCGGTGGTCACCATTGCTATTGTTGTGGTGGGTATTTTTGGTTTTATGTAGCACATTTCCTCTGAGGAGTTTTAAGGCATCCTTCCTATTACCTTTGGTTTTGCTAAATAAATAAATCCCTGGCATGGTTCTCAAATCCAGAGTTATTGTTTTGGATTATGTTTAGAATTACTTCTGGTAAAGAATGACTCAGGCTCTCGGAGTCTGTTTCATAAGCCAGTGAGGGCTGGAATTTCGAGTTCTGACAACCAACAATACAGCAATCCCAATCTTAAATTATGCCAAGTAAGGAAAAAATGTTAAGCCTACCTTCTATTATAAGTAGCACTTCATAAAAGGAAGGATATTTAACACCAAATAAGCTCAGAGAAAAGGCAAGCCCTCCTTGGAAAGGTCACTCTGCGTCGATTCTCTCTCACACACACATGCACGTGCACGCACATAGCAGTGAACGTTTCACCACGGTGGACCAGTATCTGCTGGTTCATCCGCAACCACCAGTGCAGGCAGCTGAGGGGACCAATGCCAAGGGCAGGAAGAGAGAGCTAAGCGGAGCCCGAGGAAGGCCGGGGCCACTGGCCGAGCCTCTGACCTGCGGGGACGATGACGCGGCGCTCGTTGGTGGTCATGTTTGGGGGTGGCATGTGCTTCTCCTCCATGTAGCTGCTGTAGTTCATCCCGACGGTGTCCGGGCTGCCCACCATCTTCCCACCTTTGGCCATGCTGCACTCATCAGGGGAGTTCCTGGAGGAGAAGAAGACACAGCCTTCGATTACTGCGGCCCCCCAGAGCCTGCCTCCCGGCCTGTCGGTGATGCACAGAGAGAAGGCAGGAGGGGAGGGAGAGGGGAGGAGGAGGACACTGTGGAAAGACAAGGCAGCCATCTGTGATGAGCTGAACGACTGTGCCCCCTCCAGGTTCACATGCGGAAGCCCCAGTCCCAACGTGAAGGCATTTGGAGGCGGGGCCTTTGGGAGAGAATGAAGTTTACATGAGGTCACAAGGCTGAGGCCCTGAGGACAGGATTAGTGCCCTTAAAGAAGAGGAAGAGACCAGACTCCTCTCTTTCTCTCTCTCTGCCACTGAGCTTACAGTGAGAAGGTAGCCATCCCCAGCCAAGGACAGAGCTCTCACCAGACACCAACCACCAATCAGCCTAGCACCTTGGTCTTGGACTCCAGTCTCTAGAACCATGAGAAAAAAAACTTCCTGCTGTTTCAGACCCCTGGCCCATGGCATTTTGTGACAGGAGCCCTACGAGACTAAGACGGTGCCCGCGCTCGCCGGAAGCCGAGCACAGGCACATGGGAAGCAGAGAGGCCGCCTGGTTTCCATCCCTCCAGCCAGCTCCTTCTGCAACTGTGGTGTCAAAGCCCCATCTGTGACAGCTGATTGGAAACACGTGCAGGGAACACTGAATGGGCACTTGTTCTCCCCGTGTGACTGCAAACAGGCCATGCACCCAGACGGTGAGAGGCGACACTCTGCCAGGTTTATTCCAGAGTGACACGCCTCTTCAAAACCTCAGAAGGAAACCTTTGTGTTCACTTTCAAATCCCTGCAGCCAATCCTTAGACACGGAGTTTTAAGGCTCCCAGCGCTCCTGGCTTAGGCTTGGGCAGGAAGGGCAGAAAGGGGAGCAGGACTGGCCCCCTAGAATCAGCAGGATAGGGGACCCCAGCAGCCCTGGAAGACTGGGGTCAGGGAGTGAAAACAGCTGTGTGCCAGGGGTCAGCTGCTGGGCCGTGGGGAACAGCTCAGAGGGTCGCTGTTAGTTAAGGCAGCCATGGACACTTGGATAAAGACAAACTTACCTTTCTGGAAAAAGAGAAAAAAAAAAAGAATATCTGTTTCTTAAGTAAGATCTAAAAGTTACTGGGGGAGAAGGCACTGGGAACCCACTCCAGTACTCTTGCCTGGAAAATCCCACGGACGGGGGAGCCTAGGAGGCTGCCGTCTATGGGGTCGCTCAGAGTCGGACAGGACTGAAGCGACTCAGCAGCGGCAGCAGCAAGAGTTACCGGATGTGATGAAATTGCTGTTGTTCAGTCGCCAAGTCATGTCCAGCTCTCCGAGACCCCATGGACTGCAGAACGCCAGGTTTCTGTATCCCTCAACATCTCCAGGAGTTTGCCCAAGTTCGTGTCCACTGAATCAGTGACGCCATCCGTTTTATCCTCTGTCACCCTCTTCTCCTTCTGCCCTCAATCATTCCCATACATAATAGGTAAACTCCAAACAGAAACTCTAGCTTGAGCAAGAAACAGAAGAACGTGTGAACGCCTTCTTAGATGGTTAAGCCAGAGATCACTAACACAAGATCCCTGTAGCTGCAGGATCCCGAGAGTTGAGCTACAGCATCTGAGGCAGGTTTCTGAAAATGTCCTCGTAAGCGTTACCCAACACAGGATTTTTTGTACTCTTGGCAACCAATGCAACCTACTGGATTTTAGATTTCCATCCCAATGTCTGAGGCCCCGATGGCTGTGGGCTCCACCCTAGTGGGTCTTCCCTTGTCTCCTCCACACCACGTCAGCTGGAATTCTGCAGCCAGTCTGCAGAATCGTGGAGCTAGAGGCCTGGCGTGGACGCGGCCTTCAAGTCTAAGGATGCATCAACACAGAAGGGCACTCTCTGGGTGGGGCTGGACTGAGATGCGATGGAGAAGGTCATTCTGGACCCAAGAGTTGTGGCAGGGGTGTGGACAGGAAGGATGGACCATAGGCCCTGGAAAGAGTTCATTTGGCATCTGGGAACTTTGAAGCTACAGATGCATTCTCAGCATCCTTTGCACAGGTCTGGTGCTGATGGAGGGAGCTCAGGGCTAACAATGAGGATGGAGCAAGTAGGTCTGTGGACGGAGGTCATGATTGGGGTCGCCCAGACTGAGCCCGTACCGTGGGCCAGGAAATACATAACCCGGCTTCATGGCATCCACACAGCTGTACTAACATGAAGGAAATTCAAAAATAATAGCGGTCAGAGTTCCCATGGTGTGAACCCTCTATATTTCCGATGCTGCCTACACATGCATTATTTCCTCTTGATGCTATTTTTCCTGGCTTCCAACATTTATCTCTAAAAGACCCATCCTAATATCAAAACACTGGATGTCTTCACTTGAGACTTAAGTTTCCTATCCCCTTGGAAAATTCCATCCGTTGAGTCGAGTGTGTGTGTTTTGGTCTATTTGTCTCAAGGAGAGAAGTTACTAGGGAAGAGAATTAAAGGAGTTTGGTTCTTTAGGAAAAAAGAGTTGAGATGCTACGTAGGTGATGACTGCTACTCTAGGATGAGCACTGTTCAGATCCAGTCATTCGCTCCTCATTTAGACCATTTTTATAATTCAGTGCTTGCTGGCGGTATACCAGGACTACAAAATTCTTTCTTCTCCAGCAAGGCAGTTAACCATCTAAAACGTGAAAGGTCAAGGAGATATACAGAATTACAGGAAGAAGGGTCACTGCGGATTATGGACCCTTCAGATGAACTCTGTCATTTTCTTACAATCCTACTGTCCAGCTTCCATCTCTGAGGACTAAGCTCTAGGAACAGACCATGTCAGTTTTCCCATGGCATTAAAACAGATCCCTCATCAAATCCGGAGATACGACGAGCTATTAAACTGCATTCTGTGTACTCCAATACACATTAGGGCAGACAAATACGGTTTGACTCCACTTACATGAGATACCGAGAACAGTCAAGTTCACAGAGTCAGAAAGTACAGTGATCGATGCCAGGGGTGCAGGGTGAGGCGGAAAGGAGAGTTAGTGTTTAGTGGGGACAGAGCTTCAGTTTAGGAAAGTGAGCAGCTGGGGAGACGGATGATGGTGAGAGATGGACAACACCGTGACTGTACTTAGGACCACCGAACCATACAGTCAGAGGTGGTTTAAATAGTATGCTTTATATTATGTGACTCTTAACAAAAAAAAAAACAATAAAAAAAAAAAAAAAAAATGCAATTTATTAGAACTTTACAAAAATATGTCTATGTATTTAAAACAGGCGTAATCTTCAATAAGGTTAGTTTATGTCTTCACCTTATAACCAGAAGACATAATTCACTTTATTAAGATTTTCCAGCCAGCTTTCAGTATTAGAAAAAAAAATCAGCAACATGAAATGCTATTTTCAAAAGTTGTACATTCAGGACATTTTTTTTTTTTAATTTTGTTTTCTCCACTGTATTTTGTTTTAGCATCAGAGGAAGACAGAAGGGTACCGTGTTTATGTTCATTTCAAATAGTTTCTGTAATAACTCTAAGGGAACTCCAACCTCAGTGTGAGAAGCGCATCACCCCAATAGGGCCACTGACATACAGAACTCAAGCCGGGTGTTCAAGCAACACTGATTAAAGCGGCCTCAGCTGTTTCATTCTCATTGTTCAGCCTTTCCCCCCCTAACTATTCTCTTGGAAATTTTAATAGCAAAGTAGCAGCATATATACATGTCATCATGTTCTGAGAGCTTAACTGCTATCAGTCCTCACGACAGCCTGGCATCAGCTCCATTTCTCAGTGGTGTAAATTGAGGACACCAAAGAGAATGGGCTTGCTCCGGGTCTGAGTCGGGAGGAGGCAGAACTGAGGCTTGAAGCTGGGCAGCTTCCACTCACTGTCTACGCTTACAGATGTCCCCCCTCGGTCAAAGTCAGATGGCTGGGATGACGGCCTTTCAAGAGGTGAAACAGATCTTCATTTCAGAAAGGCGTCAAGAACACCCAGCCCCCACGTTACTCTGGTTTAAGCTCTGCGCTGCTATACCCAGCTGCGCTAAGAAAAGATCCACATGGAAACCTGTCCATGCTTACTGTGCTGTTGAGCTCCACCTTCAGCGTGCTAAGGTGACTTCTTAGAAGTCACAGGAAGAAACTTCCCACAGACAGCTTAGTATTCCATCTGCACTGAGCCTCAAACAGAGGATCCCATTTTTCTCTTCTAACAAGGTAAGGATTTGGGCATTCTCGCTTTGAAACACACATAGCAAAAAGCATACCTTTAAATATGATATTCTTAATATTCACCTATGTGCTCTTTAACAGCCCCTATGAAAGTTTTAAGACGTTTTTTAGATGCGCTCTAAATGGGTAATCAACTGGTGAATATGAAATTTCTGTCTTATTATTTGAGGCATGAATTTCTTAATCACAAATAAGCACGGTTCAAGATATTTCTCTGAAAGACTCTACCTTTCAAGGGCATGGAAAAGCTATTATGCAAGTCAAACCACAATGAGGTATCACCTCACATCTGCCAAGATGGCTATGATAAAGACAAAAAGCAAAAGTTAACAAGTGCTGGAGAAGATGCAGAGAAACTGGAACCCTTGTATACTCTTGATGGGAATGCAAAATGGTACAGCTGCACCGGGAAACGGTATGGTGGTCCCTTGAAACATTTTTGAAAAAGAACAACTATACGATCCAACAATCCCACTTATGCATATTTATCTGAAAGAATTAAAATCAGGATATCGAAGAGATATGAGCACTTCCATGTTCACCATGTACTATTCACAATAGTGAAGATGTGGACCTAAATGTCCACGGATAGATGAGTAGATAAAGAAAATGCGGTACAAGGATACAACAGAATACTATTCTCCTTAAAAATAAAGAAAGCAGAAATAGATTATAGCATGGATGAATCTCAAGGACATTATATTAATACTAAGTGGAAAAAGTCAGTCCCAGAAAGACAAATACTGCATGATTCCCCCTTATATGAGCTATTTTAAA